ATGTCGTCACACTCATGCGACAACATGGCGTCCAACATTGTCGTGACTTCGCTACCATAGATCAGACCGAACGGTGTCATTCCAGGGGTTTCTTGTCGAGCGGTGTTATAGGCAAAGGTCATGTACAGCAATATCCGATCCCAGTTTTTATGTTCCGTGTCAACGTACATGCTGATCATGTCTGTTAGGGTCCTATTGAGGCGCTCCGTCAGTCCGTTTGTCTGCAGATGGTATGCAGTTGTTCTCCTGTGAGCTGTACCGCTGTGTCTGAGAACCGACTCCAAAAGCTCTGCCCTGAAGGCAGGTCCTCTGTCTGCCATCACTACTGTTGGAGCGCCATGCCGAAAGACGATGTTTTCGATGAAGTACTAAGCGGCTTCTGCTGCTGTGCCTGCGCTGCATAGCTTTAGTCTCCGCATAACGAGAAAGGTAATTGGTGGCCACAATAATCCATCTGTTGTGGAAGTTGGAAAGGGACCCAGGAAATCCATTTCAATCTGGGTGAATGGCTTTTCTGGTGCTTCGACTGAATGTAAAAGACCGGCTGGCTTGCTGGGAGGCGCTTTGCGTCTTTGGCAGTCGGTGCATGTTCGCACATGATGGTTAACAGCAGCAGGTAACTTTGGCCAGTAGTACTTGCATCGTAGTCGCCACAATGTTCGGGTGTAGCCTAGATGGCCAGAAGTTGCTTCATCATAGCACGCTTCCATAATTTCTTTTCGAAGAGAGGCATGCACGACTGAGCAAGTGCGGGTTACCGGTTGGTGAGAAGTTTTTCTTATAGAGAACATCGTTTCGCAAGCGAAAGGAATGGCAGTCCTCTAGCAAATAACCGCGGCACGTCTTTACGTCGTCCTTCTCAATATTCAATGAATGGTAACAGCTCAGGGTCACTGCGCTGCTCTCGTGCAATAGTGGCCTTGCTGACAACTTCCAAGAATGCCGTGTCAATGTTTTCGTCATCAGGAGCAACAGTTTCCACTGGCGGCCGTGAGAGACAGTCGGTGTGCCTCTTCCCAGATTTATAGACGATGGTGACGTTGAACTCTTGAAGCCTTAGGCTCCAGCACGCCAAACGGCCAGATGGATCTGTAAGGTTGGTGAGCCAGCACAAAGAGTGATGGTGGATAACAACCTTGAAGGAGCGGTCGTACAAATATGGACGAAATTTGATGACTGCCCACACCACCGTGAGACACTCCTTCTCGGTGGTCGACTAGTTCTCCTCTGTGCGAGAGAGATTTCTGCTGGCGTAGGCTATTACTCTTTTACAGCCGTCTTGCCACTGCACTAGAACAGCACCCAGACCTACATTGCTGGCGTCAGTGTAAAGTACTGTAGGGGCATCCTGGTTGAAGTGCGCAAGGACTGGAGGTGTTTGCAGGTGTTGTCGTAGTTGATTGAATGCCATTTGCTCCTCTTCACCCCAAAAGAGGGGGACGTCCTCATGGGCGAGTCGTGTCAGTGGCGCCGCAAAAGATGAAAAGTCCTCGATAAATCGCCAGTAATAGGCGCACAACCCTAAGAAGCATCTCACAGCCTTTTTGTCACGTGGTGCAGGAAGTTGCACTACGGCGTCTATTTTTTTGGCCGGGTCATGTTGCTCAGGACTTGGTGCGGGTGGTGTAACGGCTTGCCTCAACTCCTGGTGGACGATTTCGGCAGCAGATGCGACGGGTGGTTGGGTAGGAGGAACGCAGAGGGCCCGAAGTTCCTCACGCAGTATTTCGCTAATCATTTGTCGTAGGGAACTTTCGTAGATGGCAGTGTTCTGAGCTGCAGCGCCTACTGCCGTGTGGTTCGGCAGATGGTCAAAGTGTCGGTATCGTTGTTGTAGTGCGCGTTGATGACAGTCTTCTCTCTTATAAATTCATCTACTGTTGTAGGTGGATTTCCTACGAGGCCCGCAAACACTGGTTCTTTAACACTCTAGGGGCATTAGGTGACGCACCTTCTTCGCCTCAGGCATGTCAGGGTCACCTCGTCGAAACAGACGGATCATACCCTCTGTGTACATGGGGCTGTTTCGTTGGGTTTTCGCATGCGAGCCTCAATCAGTTGATGTGCGCGATCCCGTCGGTCCGAGTTCAAAAATGTGGCGAGGAGCTTTCGACGGAAATCTTCCCAAAATTGGAAAGTAGCCTCGTTCTCATACCACGTGCGAGCGCTATCTTCCAGGGCGAAATATGCATGTCCAAGTTTGTGCTGTTCGTCCAGTGGTTAGATACAGCGACCCGTTCGAACTGTTCGAGCCAGTCCTCGACATCCTTGTACTCTTGCCCACGGAAAATTTCAGGAACGCAAGGATGTTCAAGAGTCGCCTGCGAGGGAAAAGTTGTCTGCGATGAAAGGGTAACTGTGGATCTGGTTGGAGCTGCCATGCTGGTAAGAGGCGGAACAGGTGCGGACTTCGGACTGAGGCCTAGTAGGTGCCGACTGAATCGGTGCACCAGAGTCGTGACGAGGGGCGGAGTCTCTGGACTAGGTGAATGGGTCCGAGCAAGACTGTCCTGTATCAAGTTGTAGGCTCCAGCACCTCCACCAGTGTCACGACATCAAAACAGAGGTCAAACGAGTCGATCTTCTAATTAGCACGCGCAAGCAAGTTCTTCTTTTTCGTCCATTTCGTAGTTCTTCGTGGCACATGCACAACTGCCATCGTCTTTCTTGAGCAAGCACGTAATATATTGCGTGTGCGATGTTGCATGCGTTATGGGGAGAGACTGTCTTACGTAGAAAGGAACAGATGCCTTGGCTTGCAACGGCAGGGGCCTCATTAGCTCATACTCGTAATTATTCTATCCAGCCAGGGCACTCAGACAGGCGTATGGTTCGAATGTCGCCCAAACGAAGGCTATCGGGAAGGCTTCGTGCTGATCAAGGATAGGAGCGTCTGAACAGTCGTGAGGTGCCAGGAAGAGTCAATCTTTTGTTGAATTCCAATGGCGGAGTAGAAGCAGCCGACAGACTCTGCGAGCGAACACTGAACTCTGGCCTAGAGCAATTCCTCCAAATCTGCGATTCGAACACCATCCACTCTGCTAGAGTAAGTATGGTTAGCAAGGTAGGAGCGGAAGTCCTTTAGTTGTCCAGAATATTTTTCGTGTGGTATTCCATCCCGCTAATTCCTGCTGTCAAATTCCTCATACGCGGTTGTTGGCAGGTCTCTCTGCGATGAATTGATTTGCCCAGTCGGCTATGTCTTCCACCGTTACTGTCAAAACACACGACTAAGCGGGCGAACGTATTAGGGTTCAAACACCCCGACCTGTCATTGTCACGGGACTACGGCACGCCGAGTTCCCGTCCATTCCGCCGATTTCGGTGGGGCTGCCATTGGAACACAATTGCCCCAAAAGGAGCAGAAAACTTGCTACGATTCTGCCATTGGAATTCAACATTTACTAACAATGAACATGCTCCTAGCGCTAGCGACGCGCTAGGCATTTTATCCGGACCAAACAATCGCGGCATCCGACTGTTTGTGCTCGTCAATGGTGTCCAGTGTGGACTCTTCCCCTTACACTCTCTCAGCAGTCAGGTGATGACAGCAGCAAGCGCATCAGCACTCCTTCGTCAGATGTCTCATTGTAGCAGTTGAGTTAAAGAATTTCCAAAACTGTATTTTGACATTTCCTTTTTGCAAAGACCATTACTGGAACATATTGCCATGATTAAGATCGAGTAACCTTCTGTTAATGGAGCTATATATCACTGATAGCTATCCTCCTCCTCCACTCCATCTTCCATCCGCAGCTTTTTCTTAGAGCGCTCAGGGCTAAACTCTGTCTTCAGAGGGCTATGCGTCCAGGGGCGGCACCAGGATGTTTTTACTGGGGGGGCAACCACGAAAAGTGAGTTCCTCCTGGGGGGGCAAGCCGTCGGTTGCTAGCTGTTCTCCTACTAGGTTTTCAATATATGCTTCCGGGCACTTGGGTGGGCATAGGGGGGGAAGGCGAGAATTGTGGAGGGGCTTCAGCCCACCCTTGCCCCCCCCTGGTCGCCGCCCCTGTATGCGTCACGTGAAAGGACGCTTGCGTGAGGTCGTGTCGTCTATTTCCGGTAAGCTGAAGCCAGCGCAGTAGCCACTGTAGGGTCAGTCACTGGGCTGCTTGCTCATCTGATTCTAGAGGGAAATCTGGGCCGCAAGAACACTAACCACAGAAACGCTGGCATTGTTGCCATCACATTACCTTGAGCGGGCCCTGCAACACTTTACCGAGTAGCCATGGAAAGTATTCATCAAAGGAGCTTATTGGCTAACAAATCCATCGCTGCAAATTTTTTAGAGTACGTTCATTATGAGTGCAGTTACAAAGATTTCTTGCACATTACAATTGCATTCTCCTCTCTCTCATCCCTCTGAAAGCTCTGGAATTAAAGCAGGGAGGGATGGCATGGAGGAAGTAAGTACGTTATGCACGCCTCGTGATCTTGAGCACTTTTTCTCTCTTTATTTTTGATTGACAATGTGCAGATATTCCTTTGTGATTATTTTGAACGCTTTTACAAAATATAGAATGTCTATCTGTGTAATTTATTGTGCATGGGAAAAAGCGTTTGCAGGTTGGTTTACTAGATGATGCCCCGATATCACATGTGGCTGTGTGCACACGCGGTAACGACGTTCGCTGCGCCTGAGGTCTATTTGTAAATTGCAATTGTGTTTGCTTTATTTGTGACAAATTTTTAACCAAATTATATAGAGTTAAAACAATTATGAATATTTTTCTGCAGTAATGCGGGAAAATTGCCGGTGATGTACATTGCACATCTCATCAGATCACCAGCCTGTGTGACGGCGCGCTTCCAAATGTCGTCGTACTAAAAGGGGGGTGGCTGAAAATGCATTTGGCTGAGCCACTGTGATTTGCAGTGACTTGCAGCTTTGAACTGTTGGAATAAATCGCACAGTTTATGCAGAGAGTTTAAATTACCTTTAGAACTTGCTCTACTGGACCAATCTATTTATACAAAATCTTCAACATTACTTCAGGGTGCCATGGCTCCCACATTGCGTGCTCGTGATTCTAAGGCAAGCGGTTCGGAGAATCGCCCCAAGAACGAGGATTCTCTTCTTATCAAGCGCCAGAAGCAGAGGGAGCGAATGCGCAAGCGGCGGGCTAACATGTCACCGGGTGCCAAGGCCAGGGATGCGGAACGGAAGCGGCGAGAACGAGCGGCAGCGTCACCAGCTGCCAAGGCCAGGGAGGCGGAACGAAAGCGACGAGAGCGAGCGGCCGCGTCACCGACCACCAAGGCCAGGCGAGCGGAAAAAATACGGCAGCAGCGAGCGGCCGCATCACCGAACACTAAGGCCAAGGAGGCAGAAAGAAGGCGGAAGCGGCGAGTGGCCAAGTTGTTGAGCACCATGGCCAGGGAACTGGAAAGAAGACAGCAGCAGGTGGCGGATGCGTTACCAAGCGCCAGGGTCAAGGATCCAAAAAGAAAGCGGCTGTCGCCGCTACTGACGCCCAGCAGCGACTGCGCCAACACACTGAGTACGTGTAGTGCCAGCAACACTTCTAAACAGCACTAAGCACTGAGTAGCGCACGCGGCTGCCACAAACTACTCGCAGAAGCATTTTGTGCAGAACCCGTTTAGAGCTGTGGGTTCAGTGTGTGGTCGCTTGTGGTCAGCCAATGATCTTGGCAAGGCCCCACAAGCAGAGCCATGGAATTCTAACAGAGCATCTCCCAAATGGAGTCGTTAGCAAGTGCCTTTCAATTTTTTCTCTAGTCTTGGGTCACTAGTGCCAGCTGCCCACATTTTTTTGTAACCGCCAGTGAATAAAGTCTCCTCTTCCAGTGCATGCACGGTTGTAGTCATAATTAGTTTGCACATATTTGTAAAAGGCACTGTGCTTGTCAGTACTGCAAGATTATGTATATTTTACTGTGAAAGTGCACATTTCTGTAGGTATTAGGCAGTATTTAGCCTGCCAGCTTTCACCGCATGGTGATCTGCTTAGCTCGACTACTATGAGGTAGCAAAAGCATCTAGTGCAGTCTTGGGCAGCAACTAGTTGCTAGTAATGCATTACCGGTAACTAGTTACCTTTTTTAGTTACTTCTAACTGTAACTAGTTACTTTAATTTAGAGTAACTATAAAACTGTTACTTTTTGATTGAGTAACTGTAAGGAAAAATACAGTTACTTCTATTTTTGTAGAAAACCATCCAACAGCCACCCTCGTTGAAGGCCGACGTTACATGATTTTCATTTCTTTGAACTTTCTTCTTTACAATATCCCCTCCACCTTTTGACTTTTGACGGCTCCCTTCACAGTTTAAAAGAACAGGTCGCTAAGAGGAATGTCTTCCTTGCAGAAGACTTGAGTTCGGAGTTCACTTGTGTGCTACATGTCTAAAGGTAAACATATTCAACAAAGACCTGTCTGGCTGGTTTGAAGCAAAGTGTGTCTGGAGGGTATGTTTATTCGTAAAACTACATGTCATAAATCAATAATGTTGCCACTGAATACCTTGCCAAGTTCAAGTGCCCCCCCCCCCCCCCCCCGGCTTTTGGGGGGGGGGGTCGGGGGGGAGGGGAATGGGAATATATATATATCCATCTTTTTTTGTCACTTGAGCTTATATCCCTTTTCTTGGTATGCCGGTGGAGCATTCCTCTGTCTGAGACTTCCAGCAAGTCGCATTTGACAGGGGGCTAGGAAACAGAAGCATGAAACTGCTGAAAGCCTGAAGCATTTAAAACGGGTTTGTAACTGATTGTGAAAGCTCTACTTCGAGTTGACACAACAATTATTAACAAAGTGATTGACGTTTCCCCTCCTATGTAGGTGGTATCCTCAGTAGATGCTAGCAGAAAAATGAAAATAAGTGGAGGTCAATCAGTTTATTAGTCACACATGTCTTGAAAACATTCGGTAGGTGGCCATGGGATGCTGTTGTGTCGTAGCGAATGAACCACGTTTCCAGAAGTCTCCACCCCCCTCCCCATACACACACATTGTTTTCGTCAAAACTATAGCCCTGTGCAGTGTCGTTCTAGGGTTTCACCACACGCCACTTTCACTACCTGCATGCCTTCCTACGTCTTTATTAATTGAAGTACATCATTTGTTTTGTAATCAATTTTTATAAAGTAACGAAAGAGTCAAATGGTCAATTGAAGGCCAATAAATTTCTAACACGAGTGCAAACTCAGTGCTTGATTGTTTTCCTCCTTTACTTAGGTCGCCAGAATAAGCAGGTATTTTTGCTGCATTTTTTACGAATACTTGGCACTCGTCCAGATTCTGATTCATACTCTTGTAATGCTTACTTATTTATTTATTCAAAATGCTTTACAGGCCCATTAAAGGGCATTGAGTTAGGGGGGCATCAGTAAATACATTACAAACCAATATAGACAAAAGTAAAAAAATCAAAGGACAAAAAAGCAAACAAGTGAAAACAGCAAGGTCAATAAAGTTATACAATATAAAAACGCAACAAAATTAGGTTATCACGAAAAGATTCATGGTTGGAGATGGATACGATGTGATCTAAAAGCCTGTGCCAATGGGCTATGGCTCGAGGTTATGGGGATAAGTTAAATGCCAGTGTGTGACCATGGATGCGCATGAAACTATGTGCATTGTGAATGGGTCAAGATGCACACAAGGGGACATGAGGTGACAAACAGTGGCATTTGTTACTGTAAATGTACCGATGAGATAAACATAAAACAGCGATTAGGCAGCGTTGATTCAATGACATTAAGTCAAGGTCTTGTTATATTAGGGTGATGCTTAATTGATAGTCGTAGTTACCTACTATGAATCTCGCTGCCCTATTCTGGATGGCTTCCATCGTACGGACTAGGTAATCTTGATGCAGTGACCATGTGGATGATGCATACTCTAATTGTAGATGAACATAAGTTAGATATGATAATGCACGTACGTTAGAAGAAGCGTTGCGCACGTTTCTGCGCAGATATCCAAGAGACTGGGAGGCTTTTGAAGAGACAGCAGTTATGTGCCTGTTCCAAGATAAGTCTGATGAAAGGTTTTGATTCATTGATTGATATGTGGGGTTTAACGTCCCAAAACCACCATATGAATATGAGAAATGCCATAGTGGAGGGCTCCGAAAATTTCGACCACCTGGGGTTCTTTAACGTGCACCCAAATCTGAGCACACGGGTCTACATTTCTGCCTCCATCGGAAATGCAGCCGCCGCAGCCGGGATTTGAACTTGCGACCTGCAGGTCAGCAGCCGAGTACCTTAGCCACTAGACCACCGCGGCAGGGCTCTGATAAAAGGTGAACACCAAGATATTTATATGATTGTGTGGCTGAAACAACGGTATTATTTATAGTATAGAAAAAAGATGAGTTACTACGCTTTCTAGTGAACGAGATTAACTTGCATTTAGAGGCGTTAAGGGACATCTGCCAGGCTTTGCACCGCCTGTAGGTTAGATTAAGGTCATCTTCGAGAGCGGAATGATCGTCAATAGATTGAATAATGCAGTAGATGATGCAATCATCTGCGAACAACCTAACTGAGGATGAAAGGTAATAGGGCAAGTCAGTAATGTATATGAAAAATAGTAATGGACCCAGCGCACTACCTTGGGGAACACTAGGCGTGACATCGCAAATGTTACATGAAGTGCCGTTAACCACTGTAAATTGCTGACAGGATGACCAGAAATTGCTTATCCAGAAAAGCATTAATGAATCAATGCAGATAGAAGGCAAGTTAGAGATTAAATGACAATGAGGGACAGTATCAAAAGCTTTGGTGAAATTGAGAAAGAGGCAATCCATTTGATCATTTCTGTTCCTATTAAAGTGAAGGTCAGTGGTGAATTTGAACAACTGAGTGTTGCATGAGTAGCCTTTCTTGAAGCCATGCTGATTAGAGAAAAAAAAAAAGTTATTCGATTCAAGGTGATCATAGATATGAAAAGCTTGTAATATGTTCAAGTAGTTTGCAAGATATGCATGTTAGTGAAATGGGTCGATAGTTGTGGGGCGAGTGCCTGTCACCGGACTTGAAAACGGGGATTACCTTGCCAATTTTCCAGTCCTTAGGTAGGCAGTTCACCAGATGACAAAGACTGGTTAAAGATAAGAAACAGAAAGCTACTGGAAATACCAGTGGTGTTCTTTAGTATTTTAGAGTTGATGTTATCAATGCCTGATGGAGTAGGGACTTTAATTCCTGATGAGGTTCACAATACCTTCTGCAGTGATGTTTATGGGAGTCATAAAAGGGAAGGGCTGATCAGGGATAAATGGCACACTGGAACAATCCTCTTTGTAAGAACTGAGGCGAAATATTCATTGAAGGCAATCGTGGAAGCTTAATCAGAAAGCGGAGTTTGATGTAACGCAATGAGAAGATTTATTGGGAGGAGAGATTATCTGCCAGAATTTTTTAGGATTGTTTTTGATAAGCGAGGGCAAATCCTGCGAAATAATATTTCTTCTTTGCTGTGCCTTGAGCTATATAGTATTCTTGCGAGCACGCCCTGTATTTTTCCCAGTAGAAAGCAGAAACATGGCGTTATGCTGTAGTATACGAACGTTTCTTTTTATTTCTTAATGTTCGAAGCTGCTTTGTAAACCAAGGGTTAGTCTTATCGTTGGATATAGAGACTAGAGGTATGTATTGGTCAACTAGCTCCAATATATTTTCTTGAAAAAGAATCCAGTTGGTGTTTATGGTCTGCGAGGCAAATGACGGCAGAAAATGCTCGTGATAAAATAATTCTAAGTCGGTGTAAAGTTTTTATTGTCACCACGGTTATAATCACAGATAGTTTTAGTCACTGCACCTGTAAACATTACAGGTCAATTGATCTGGAAATGAATGAGCTTGTGGTCACTAAATCCTTCTACGCGTGAAATCGCTCTGGTAGTTTGAGGTGCATTAGTGAGAACGAGGTCCAGTATGTTGGTACCGCGGGCGAATTCCTGAACAACTTGTGACAAGTTGTAGTAGTTGAGAGTTTCTTCTAAAAAAATTTGATGAGATGCAGCATGTGGTGGACATAGTAGACCAATCCATTAGCAGGTACTCGAAATCACCAAAAAGATATATTATATCAGCTGAGCACAGTTTTGTAGCTCGCTCTATGTTATCACCAGAACCTCGGGAAAGGAGAAATGCAAATCCGGTGGGCGATAACATGATCCTATAAGTATTTTGGCATGACATATAATGCATACAGTCCAAGTTATCTCTATGGAAGGGTTTGTATCAAGATGAAATGATGAGACTGTTTTCTTACCGCTAATTACACGCTACCTCCTCTTCTGTCGACACGGTCACATCGATATATTCTATAGTTGTCTTTATCTGGTAACAGCTCTTCGTTAGATAATTCAGGATAAAGCCAGGTCTCCGGGAGAATTAACAGTCTGCATCACTATCATCTAAGTATGAGCACAACCCGTCTCTTGGGCACTAGGCTTCGGATGTTTAGTAAAATACACGCATATAGATGGTGACTTCACTATACACCGCTGTAGCATTGATGCATTATTGCTGACAGTCACGCACTGGCATTCATTCACATGTGTAGACACATCCATATAGCTGACCTTTGTTCCCTAAACATTGTCTTTGGACTCTGAGCACCTCAGTGGGAGGGGATTGGAAAGACCCTGGGGGGGGGGGGGGGGTGAGTGTTCTGTGATAGAACTTCAGTTCCCCTTACAGGGACAGTAAAGGCAAATGACAATTTGTCAGAGTGAAATCTCAGTGTATTACAATGTCTAAAAGGGCAATATTAACAAAAGTGCTTTACTTCTCTAGAAATTAAGCAAAGTGTATCATACGACGTGCTTCATAAGTGGGATACTTGCGAAATGATCCTGGTGACGCGAGAGGATCCGACTACAATTAATCATAATAATCATCCAAATAGCTGCAATAAAATAGCACTAGAATGCCTTACCTTGTTGTGTCCAATCGCTATTGACCTCTGGATTCCTTTTTATCATGCATTGAGCCAACCAATTGATGAACCTCTTTATTGTCCACCTGAAGAGCATCAGAAGAAAGAGCTGAAAGGAGCTTGGCAAGGCTTCTGGGGTCTGTGCCGTTGAGCTGCATAGTACAGAAAAATAACATCTCATCTTCTCCTACACCTTATCGTAAAAGTACTCGGAGACGTCAAAGTTTGTGTTTGCCTCGCCGCGGTGGCCTAGTGGCTAAGGTACTTGGCTGCAGAACCACAGGTCGCGGGATCAAATCCCGGCTGTGGCGGCTGCATTTTCAATGGAGGTAGGATTGCTGTAGGCCGATGTGCTCAGATTTGGATGCACGTTGAAGAACCCTAGGTGGTTGAAATTTCCGGAGTCCTCCACTACGGCGTCTCTCATAACCCGATGGTGGTTTTGGGACGTTAAACCCTACATATCAATCAAATCAAGAAAGTTTGTACATGTGTACTACAACATTATTCAAGAAACCAAGACACCACTCAGAATGACTGTTGGGTTATTGATATTTTGTGAGTGACTAATCTTGCGCTGCTAATTGCTTCCTCATCAGTGGGCTAGTTGGCTTTGGAGTAACAACAGAAGAAGCCAAGGATGTGAAGGCAGTCCACACATGAACATACTTGCAACTTTTAGAATGGACCCCTGATAGCCAAATGATTGTATATAAAGTTTATGCTTTAATGAATATATGTTAGTACGGTGATCATGATGTTGAATTATAAAAGCTCTAAGGTAGCCGGTTATTATTGCTAGCATCATTAATTATTATCAGTTGTGATGTGACCTGGAGGTATCGCCCATGCCCCAGAATCATAACAAACTAGCATTCTACCGCAGTTAAGCTCCATAGCACAATCTCCCTTTCTTGTCGAAGTGAATGCAATTGTGGGGGTACTATGGCACTAGCGGCTGTGTGACACTCCAGGCACGTTTTTCAGCTGAAACATGGACAGAAGAGGCTGACAAGGACAGCGCTTACTTGTCGGCCTGTCCTTGGTAAGCGCCGTTCCTGTCAGCCTCTACTGTCTGTGTCTTTTTGGTGCGCTTCAACCAGGTCTTTCGAGTACGAGCGTGGCTGTGTAAGAAGGCCGTGCAAGGAGGCGGGCACTTTCAATCACGTCAACAATATGAGGGTTTCCAAAAGGCAATTTTATTTCAAATTAAGCACTTCCTTGGCACGAAACGAGCAGTTTGAGGTTTGCGGAGTGCTATTTTGACAATCCACATCTGCTTATCATCTGCCTTTGGTGTCCCTTTAAAAGCGAAACATGATAGCATTATCAGGCCTCCCTCACATCGATTTTTTATTTCCTTGCAAAGCTGTACTTTTCGTTGGACGCCTTGACCGTGCCATGACAGGAAGTTGGTGATTGAAATTGGCCCTTGTCTCTATAGGGCACCTGCAGCACCATATTTCACCACTTTACGCGGTAGCAAAGTACCCGCTACGTGTCTGTCGGACAATATTGAAATAGCCAATGGGGGTCATTTGTTGGCACATTTATCTGTTGCTTTCACGTCCTCATGAGGTACTCCTGTTAAAGACATTTGGGGTCAGGAACATTTTAAAATGAGCGAATATGCACATGTTCCCGTTGTATGTAAGTCGCACGCTTTTCCCTATTCAATGTGCAACAGATGAAGGCTCAAAGGAAGGCAGCCTAGCACATTTTCTCCCTAAATTCACGCATGCGTATCATATTTCTGTCTTGGTCATAGTTTGTGCATAGTCCTCCATGAGTTGATGCCAGATAGAATGTCAGAAACTGTCCTCACTCATGCGAAAGCGAGAACCTCTTTGCAGATGGCCTGAACCTCGCCAATGAGCCCACTCTTGTAGGTCCTGCGGCAATTAGCGACGACATTGCCCTCCTGGTGCCGATGTGCGAGCCTGAAGAGATAGTAGTTGCGGTCAATATCTTGGACGCCTATTTACTGACTCACACTGGTGAGTTTCTGGGTTTGATTTTCATTCCTCTTGTGCTGCCTGAAATATGCCTATTTTGGACCGCCGCTTCTTTCTTCACGGACATCCTTAGAGGCCCAGTGATGATATGTAAAGTTGATATTCATTAAAGGGACTGGCAATCGGCCTGAACGTGTGATTAGGTCCTGGTGGGTGTGAAAATGTCATGAATTATGGTGACATTCAAGCAGGCTTTTCCCAAGATGACTAGGACTAATATTTTCAGATAACCTTTCCGGAGCCCTCCACTACGGCATTTCTCATAATCATATGGTGTTTTTGGGACGTTAAACTGCACATGTTTATCAACATCTATTATAGCGATGTTGGGGAAACATTCAGTTTGCAAACTATATCAAAAGGGTACTGGCACATTTTCTTCGGAGGCGAGTTTAGTCTGCTATACTAATCTCCTGTATACAGAGACAGCTCTGAACAAGTGTGACGCTCAGCAAATGCCGATAAGATACATTATTTTTATATTTAAGTCAAATTTCTTACGCCACACCTACCAACATTACACTAACTTGACATCAGGCTACAGTACTAATCCTGGTGACTTCATGCAGCAGTCTGGCAAGTTGTGATGAGGTCAAGCACCAAAACACAAAAATGGCACTTTCGCTTCGTCTTCTCGATCGTCTGCTCGCCCCGTGCTGTCACTGTTATCCAGCGTACCTGTGAAGCGAGCTAGTGGAGTCTTGAATATAGTGTATGTGCACACAAATACAATAGACATGGTTATCACAGGGCGAAGGAATCATTTGATTTCAAATCAGTGGTCATGGTGCCAATATTTGGCGCTGTGATTTGGCTTGTGCCAGTGAAACGGGGGACAACAGGTGCAAGTTCCACAGATTCCAGTGCGATCCAGTGCTGAGGCAAGCGTGGGCCTACCTCATGCACCGTGGCCGAGGCAAAGACTGGACGACGCCGACCAAGCGGAGTTTACCCTGTTTCGCTCCGGACGCGTACATGCACAACGTGCAGTTGCTGACCGACTTTGGATTGTCGACTGAAAAACCTGAGCCTTAAAAAGCACTCGACATATGGTGCGATTAGGCATGCAACGGTGCACGCAGCGTACGATGATTCATGACACACGGGAAGAACGAGCCATCAGTGCTCAGTCTCCGCCCACATACGGCACCTCAGCTTCTCGACTTATCCACATCATATCCTCTTTATTAAATGCAAAATAAACAATCGCACACAGCCATGCTTCGTTGTTTAATAACATCGCCAACAAAGCTATGCCTTCGCGAGGGACAAACATTGCCACAGCCCACATTCATTCTCGACTCTGAGCGTAGGTAGGCCTAGCAAGGCTGACGTTCTCAATAGCGCCGACTCGGTTTCCAACGTGAGCTCATTGTTAAATGCTTCTCTTCGCCAACATGCTAAAAACTTGTAGATTTATATGTATGACACTTTTACACATGCAAAAGGTTTTCTCAACAGCCTCCGTGGGAAGAGCAAAGATGGAAATGAAGTGGGCCGGTTCGCCGAGGCCGTCGGTGCGACTGTTTGTTCACCTGCTGAAATGGCCTGCGATCATGGCTCGATATCTTGGTGGTGATACGGAAATGGACGTTGCCTTGCAGAAATATCACACTTCAAGCACCACTTGATTCAATCGTGAGTTATTAATTAGTTAATTCATTCATTCAGTCATAAACAGTTTATTCAATATTTTTTGTACCACCGGCAACTGTGATATCTACAAATACCAGGGCGATCGGGGCGCCCACCAGTGGCGCCCCTTGTCACGCTTCTGCACGGGTACAGCTGTTGGCACGAGCAGCCATACAGTAAATCGCATCCGACTTTGCACCATGTGTCCAGCACCATCCAAACGTTGAACGTCCCTGCCCCGACAGTTGCCAGCACATGCTGCGCCCAACAGACTAAGCAGACGATCGAAGAAGCGACGTGCTGACGAGGATAGGTCACGAAAACTTGCGCGTACACATACTACCGCCTGGTGGCGCTGCTCATACCATGTCGTGACGTCACGGTACAGTAGGAACAGAAAGTAGCCTTTAAAAGCATGCTGTCATAAATTTTTCAGGGTGCACTCACGCTTACCGGTATGTTTTCTACGCTCTTGGGTGCTTGACCTACTATTTGACACTCAAAAAAAAAAAAAACAATGAGTGAAAAATTTTGTGTTGGTGCCCCTTTAATGACAGGTCACAGACATATACGCCGAGAAAATGTATAGGGGATGTTACTAGTTGTAATTATGATGGAAGAGTGAAGATAGAAAATTAGATGAAGCGATAACTTGCTGCGGGCGGGGACCGAACTTGCGACTTTCGAATAATGCGTCCGATGCTCTACCAACTTGAGCTACATCGGTGGTCATCCCTCCGTCCACTTCATGGGATTTCAATGTACATTTAAACCTGGGAGTGTTAATCTGTGCCACGAGTAGCCATGGCTGCAAAAGTGTAACTCCATTGGTCTGCTGCCAGATCATGTTGAGATCACGTGCTGTAGGACGCCAAGAGGCAGACAAAAAAAAGCGTTTCACATTTGCTGTTGTGGCTGCTTGCCGCGACCGCAATCGCTCCTGTAACTCAGCTGGTAGAGCATTGGGCGTGTTAACTTAAGGTTGCAGGTTGGGCCCCTGCCAGCAAAAAGTTGCCCCTTCGTCCACTTTCCTTTCTTCAGATTTACATTACATTTACTTCCAATGACATCCCCCATAGCTTTCTTGCCATCATTGTCTGTTAGTTGTAATAAATATTGTGTCTAACAAAGACAGACCAGCCCTTAAATTTTGACTTGCCCCGCCACGGTGGTCTAGTGGCTAAGGTACTCGGCTGCTGACCCGCAGGTCACGGGAGCAAATCCCGGCTGTGGCGGCTGCATTTCCGATGGAGGCGGAAATGTTGTAGGCCCGTGTACTCATATTTGGGTGCACGTTAAAGAACCCCAGGTGGTCGAAATTTCCGGAGCCCTCCACTACTGCGTCTCTCATAATCATATAGTGGTTTTGGGACGTTAAACCCCACAAATCAATCAATCATCATTAAATTTTGACTTGTTTCCTTTGGTCTGGTTCCGAAGCTGGCAACTTAACCACACTTCAGGCATGACTTTATTAAAACACTTGCAAGAGGAGTTGGAAAAACAAGGCTTGTGTCGTTCATAATGGAGTGTGATAGCGAAGTTCCAGGGTGGTTTGAAATTGAGCAACTTCCACCACTTGCTAAGCGGTTTATTAGCAGAGAGTGTGAGAGGACGGGCACCGTTTGGCCAAGTGCAGCAACCGCTAGCTCATGCCGACAGAGATGCCGTTGAGGTGCAGAGCAGTGCCGCTGTGGCCACTCGTACCCACTGCACAATAACTGGTTTGTGCTTAGTACAAACTGAGATCTTGTTTTTATTCCACATTGAGCGATGACAGCAACGATTGACGTCTGATTGGTGGCATCATAGTGGCGAGTGACTGTCCAGTAACAGTGCCATGTGTGGTAGGTAGTGCGACACCTCAGCCGCCCTGACATGGGCTGTGTCTGTACGGTTTTGACTGTTGGTTGGCTTTTAAAGCAGAGGTAGAGGTTATAGTAGAGGTAAGGGAGGCACTGTATGTCGTGGATAAAAAGTTGTCATTATCGTGAACCAGTGCCGTTCCTCTTCGTACTCTTCCTGCTTCGCTCCCAAGAAGTGCTGTCGTTTTGTGTGGCAGCAGATGCAATAACGCTGATGGGTGTCAGAACAAGTACGAAGAGAGAGAAACAATGAGGGAAGTGCTTGGTGTGGCGAGATTCAAACCCACGATTCAAGGCTGGTGTTTTAACTATTGGACTGTCCAGGCACACTAGGAGAGCCCAGCTTTGTATAGTATCTCAAAAAGATGAAATAGAAAATTGAGGGTGAAGAGAGATGCAAGGGAAAGGAGGAGGGTAGAGGGTAAAGCGTTAAATAGAAAGACAGAGAAAGAGTGAAATGGAAGTAGACATGGTCGTCCGCCGGATTTTCTCTTGGAGGTTGCAAACCACTGTTGAATTGCAGCTTAGAGAGAGGGAGAGCGCTGGTCTAGCTTGGGTAAGGGAAAGTGCTGTTGTGGCTTGAGGGGAGCAAGTGCCCTGCTGACGCCCATGGAAAGAAACAGACAAAAGAGAACTCGCTGTCCACCATGCTTTGGTCTGACCTAGTCTTGCCCAAGTTCGTGAAAGCAGCACTAATTTTTTTTTTCATTTCTTCTCAAACGTGTGCTTGATTTCCAAGCGGATGGCTTACGTTTATTCCTCGAGTCGCTGGAGCTATTGTACCTCAGCAGCAAAGAACTACAATCAGAATTCACCCTGAACCTCGATATAGTGAACCCGGATATAACGAAATATTGGTTATAACGAGGTAGATGAAAAATAATATTACAATAGATATTGGGTTAGGAATATACCTTTATAAAAACTTTTCGATATATTGAACTTATTTTTGTGTAAGATGCAAGTTTGTTATTATGAGGATATGGGTGTACAGTCGAGCCCACGTATAGCAGGCCCCACTTAAAACGAACTTAAAACGCCGACCCTGCTTTCGCGCCCCTTTAGTTGTCGCTCTCCCCGACTATTTTTCAGTTACGCACCCCTCCGTCCTTTATACCCCCCCCCCCCCTACTCTGAGCGCCCCGCATCGCCAGATGAGGGGCAGATGTCTTCACACTGCTACTGATCTTTCGAAGACCGGTCAGCCATCTCTCTTGTTTTTGATCGCTGGTACTGTCATTGGCGTCGCCTGCCTTGAGTGACCAGACCACTTGCCAACATTGCTGGCCACCGACTGTATCCGATCGTCGGCGTCGTGTCTTATCGTATCGCTCTTAGCGCACGTGTAGATGCTGCCCCACATGTCACTGATGATTCGCGATTCCTTTGGTGTTTAGGACCTGTTCTCACTTACTTCCCACTTGGCTCAGCGGGCCCCTGCATGTGCACGAAAGTGTAAAAATGGCTGTTAATTTGTGCAGAACGAATTGCGAAATATCGAAGTCGGTGAGGCCAGCACACCTGCCGGCGCGACAGAACGATTCTTTGAACGCCGCCGCACGTGCCATTCCAGGCGGCCGTGCTGTGACCTCTGCGCACGCAGGCACTCTTTCAAGTTTTTCTACGTGCGAGTTGCGCGTTTCACGGACCTTTCAAGTAAGCTACCCGACCTGCCTCCTTCCTGCGTGTTTTGGTTTTCAAGGTTGCCTTCCCGCCGTATCCTCTCCTCTCTTCACTCTATCGCAACTGCTTGCTCATCTCTCGCAGATTGGCTCTCTTCTCTTGATTGAAACTCCTTTGTCCGTCTCCACCGCTCCACAATGCCATGGCTTGAATTTAGAAGTTTCGTTTTGTGACTAGAAACGGGCCCAGAGCTGTACCACGCGTTCTGGCTAGTGGTCGCGCATGCGCATCTTGCTCACTTTTGGTGTGCGTATGTGGTCAGGATGACGCACGGGAGGCCTTGCATGCTTCTTCCTGCTGTTCAACAAGACGTCGAAAGTGTGACCTGCTTGGCATCCACGCATTGTGTGCCGTGTTGCAGAGTGCTTGCTCATAGCTGTTGACAACCCGGCAGCCAACTTGCCGCTTCGGGCTTCCCGGTATTCATCTGTGGAGATAATGAATATTTCGTGGTCGGCGGTGACAGCTACATGCGCGCAAAAATGCTTTTGCGAGGCCGACTTTATCGACTTCGGGCCCGATGCCGAGACTGAAGCTTCCGAACAGGACCACTGCGGCGGCGATTTGTGGCAGTGCGTCGTCGACTCCGACATGAGAGGGCGGGTGAGACATCTGATTAAAGCCGATGATGGTACTGACACAGCGGAACCGCGCATAGATTAGGGCATTGTGAATGAAGTACGCGGCAAGAGCGATTTGGAGATATCGGATTGCGAGAACGATGAAACTTTGGAGCCAGTGCCTCATACAGCTTATGCCATGGGCCTCGGCAAAGAGCACGCTGCTGTTTTAAATAAAGTCGAAACCACCCTTATCGCTTCTGCTCTTATCACAGACTTTTTTCATAGTCTTATCATAGTCTTATCACAGACTTTTTTGGACCAAAAATTTTGTGTTTTGACTCGCAACGTTTTAAAAGCTGTATTTAAAACGAACTTTGGGATACAGCGAACAGATGTCATGTCAGGCTCAGGTTCATTACAAGCGGGCTCGACTGTACATGCATGCATAAGTGGGACCATTGAATCTGTTTATGTGCATTTGCAGTGGACGGCTGTGCATTAGAATGCTTGTTCTCAGCTATATGCAAAACTGTTCCAGGGATATGATCTCTTCAGGCGCCTGCATTTGTGTTGTATTTCATGGTGCAGATTCGGAGACTGGTGATGTGGAACTCTGCTCTCCTCAAAGTATAGAGGAGGAGTGTGGCATTACAGTCGAGGGCCCCAACGTCCCTTCACTGCTTTAGTCACCTTGTAAGTAGTTGTTTTATCCACGCCATGGAGGGATCATATATGTCATGTGTCTTCTGGGATCGATTAAAGGACACTAAAGGCATTAAGTCATCAAGGGTTGTTGCAAAAGTGTTCCAAAAACATGGTGATGCTTGTCTCGGGTTAGGGAAATCTATAGTGCAAAAGAAAGTTTTGTTTTAGTGGTTCGCATACCGTCAGCATGTCTCAAACCACCCACCTCCTGATAAGGCTTGTGATGCAGCATTCGCGTGGCTTTTTTGACCAACTGCAGCATTCTCGAGGTTGACGTCAAGCCCTTTTTTTTTTCCGTGAAGCAAACTGGAATGTGGAAGTTGCACTTTAATCTAGCTCTTGTAAAATGCTGACATGTTTTTCTTTCATCATGGTTAGTTTGAGAAGTTTTGATAAATTGTACTGAGGCCCTACTACATCATTGGGATAACGTACCAGGCATGTCCCATTGGTGGTGCAAGTCGTGCTCTACATTTTCCCTAATTTCTCGATCATGAAAGCACCGTTGTGCATAATATTGATGTTTTAGACCAGTGGTTCTCAGTCATGGACTGGTGGAAGTGATGGGGGACCCCTTGCAGCGGAGGGGAGGGAATAGGGTGTACGTACATAAATTAACACAACTGAAGCATGAAACAGGTGCCTTTTATTGCTTCCAAAAACATAACAAACACGCTACATCACTTTATTTTGGACAGTTCATCAATGCGTGGCACGGTACCACTTAAAGGAAAATGCGGGTGAGGGTTTCACGAATCATAGAAATGGCATCGTGGACCCCTTAGGGTCCGCGGACTGCCATTTGAGAACCACTGTTTTAGACATTCTCGAGCATTTACCTTTCACTATGACACGAAATTTCATTTGTGCCTTCAGCATCTCTCTAATGGCACCAGGAACTGTTTTTTTTTTATATATTTAGCCGTGGCATGGCATTCATTTTATGCTACTTGCATGTAATTCATGTCATCTTTACATGTCATTTGTGTGCTGTCATGCAATCCACATTTCATCATTCATTGAACACTCGCATTGTCACTCACATTATCTACAGCTTGTCAATTGTGCTGGCCCGACTCTTGATTAAACTGTCTTGAAAGTGGCACCTGTCAAATTATTTTACTGCACAATATCAGATTGCAAGATGGCAGATTCTTGCTTGACTCTGGCTCCTCTGGCTCAGAAAGAAAGCAACCAAGTGTTGGATTCATACTCGTTACGCCACCTGCTCGCCCTTGTTCATAATCGGTCAATAATGTTATAATCAATATCATATAATTCAACAGTTAGTAAACAACAAATGACGTTGCCATTCTCTGTTTCTTCTAATTGTCTGTTGATTTCATTGATTGTGTCTTGACCAATTCTTTTACAAATTCATGTTCTAACAAATTTTTTCATATCTCTTCGAGATTGTGTGCAGGGCTAGTCTAGCGCCGTATGAAGTGACCCACAGGGACCATTGTGGGGGCTGTGGCATATGTGGTGGACACGTCAGCAGTGACTAATACCATGAGATGAGATGCACAAGCACGTGCACTCCCCGGTGAAACTGCCCGAGTGTGGCATGATGCGACCGGTGCTTTCAAATCTAGTCAGAGCATGAAGTGCCACTGGAATCTGCTATTGGGGGCGCTGTACGCTTGCCCCGACTGTGGCCTGTCTTTCAACTAGAAATCGCATCTCTGAAGCCACAGGGGCAAGCGGCCGTTCCAGTGAATCCGGTGCATTGAGCACTTCACCGATCTCAGCCGTGTCAAGATGCACTGGTGTGCGGTACCTGCGGGCAAGTACCTGTACTGCTGCTCGCACCGCAAAGGTCAGTAGTGCGGTTAGCAGTGCGGGTACTCGCCCTTTTTTAGTTTTTTATTTATTTATTTTACTATAAATGGTGTGTGTTTGCTTTTTACAAGAAAAATGAGGTAGTTGCGTCTTCAGTCTTCGAGTAATACCTGTGTTACATGGGCACTTCTGAAAGGCTATTCATTCAATGGCCGTTGAAATTCCTTAACTCGATCGACACAATGGAGGTGTCACACTGCTACATGCATGACCGATCAGGATCTTGAATGGTTGAGATGTTGAATGGTTCAGGTATTTTTCGCAAGAGTTCTGAGGGTCTGCGTTTTCGTATTCGTGTCACTGAAAGGTAAATCTACTTTAAAACATGTCTGTTTTTGTTTAAACATTACAATGAACTGTTCATTTGGCATGAACACATATTTAGTTCTTAAGCTTTAGAGCTGCGAAACTGTGGTGAGCGGTATGTTGTGTCATGCGACCTCTGGTGTCACGCCATTGTATAAGCATGTTGTGCTTCCTGTCAGTGCTGCAGGATGGAGTCCCGTCTTAGCGGGTGTCTGCTTTTTAATTTTGTAACTGAAATGCATGTGGCGACCTAAGTCACGTGACTTGTGTCACGCTGGCCCAACACCCCTTTTTGCTCTCCTTAAAAACTTCATGCAGTAAACTGAGAACACACTCTAGTCTCGCTGAATGTTCTGTTTCATGTCGTCTCACAACGCCCTCCTGTTGCTAGGCCTTTCTGTCGGTTTGCCGTGGGGCGTGCTGCACTTCTGGCAATACAACACGATACATGGAAGGATGGTATGATGAAGTCGAGCACATTGCTGTTGTCAAGAATAATATTCAGTTTGCACATTTAAATTGGTGAAAATACTTTGTTAAATAGTTTACAATGCTCGCATGTACTTATTTTAAAGAATCCTGGTTAGCTTCCTTTTTCTGGTCGTAAGCACAAGCACATTGTTAATGCGAGGACACTTTTACAGTTACTGCTTTCTTTGCTCAATGGCTATTGAAGTTTGGCAGAGTTGTGTGGTGCTCCAAGACTATTGACTCAATGGCCTTTGAAACGTCCCCTGTGGCAGTTCGCGTATGATCGTTGAGTCAATACACTATTAGCCGGAAGGCCAATTGTGCACCCATGTGACACGGGTATAACCTTTCACCCACCAAAGCAATTCAAGGGCTGAATTAATCAATGCCGTTGTCGCTTTGATGTCTTCATGTGGTCATGACAGGGAAGAAAACGGCACTCGAGCTGATAGACAGGAAACTTTATTGGGTGAACTTTGGCTAAGCCCAGGAAACAAAAAGCGAAAGTACAAGCGATACGCCCTGTACACTGATAACAGTGATCACAGTGTTGGCCGTGGATAGGCTGGTCGGGGCAAAGGTGCATTGGCATTTATAGGTGCCCCATCAATGATTCCAGACTTATTATTGGTGGTCGCATTCGTTCAAGAATGAAAAGCACTGGTTTTATTGTGCGCTTGAACTTATCAGAACAACTAACGTAGGGTAGTGTTTGGGACCTTTACTATTTCTAATATATATAAATGACATCGTTAACGAAATTTTTCCCCCTATTCAAATTAGGCTATTCGCAGACGATTGTATAGTGTTTAACGAAGTTTGTTCTCTTAATGATTAATTAATGCTTAATTCTAACCTTCAAAACATCTTGTCGTGGTGCGGGCGATGGGGTATGGAATTGAACAAGGAAAAAACAGTCTACATGTCTATAACAAAAAAAAAATTAATATGATGTCGTTTGCTTATAACTAGGATCTACACCGCTCACCAAAGTAAACCAATACAAGTATCATGGAATCATGATAACTAGTGACCTAAGTTGGAATAACCACATTTCCAACATATGTAACTCCTCCTTCAAAAAACTGTGTATCCTCAGGCACAAACTAAAGCACACTCCTCATTATACTAAAATGCTAGCCTACACTTCACTCATTCGCCCGAAACTAGAATATGTAAGCATCGTATGGGATCCCTACACAAAAACTAACATAAACGCTCTAGAGATGATTCAACGCAGAGCAGTTAGGTTCATTTTTTCTAAATATAGAATAACTGACTATCCCACTAGCCTAATGAAACAACATAATATCCAGACACTTCAGCTTCGAAGGAAAATACACAGGCTAAAATTTCTCTACCAACTGAAAAACAACTCTTTCTCTCTGAACCCACACGCGTATGTGACACCACTTGCAGCACGTCGAACACGGCATCGTCACGAATTTTCTTTAACACCATATAAGACCAGAACTAACCTTTTCAAATATTCTTTCTTTCCGCGCACTATAAACGATTGGAATAATCTGCATTTATCACAACTAATAAGCGCAGATTCCATTGAACATATATCTACTTGATGTTTCGCCATTGTCATGTTGATTAATCTTTCATTTCTTATTTTTAGTGTTCCTTTTTTGTATTTCAATTCTTTTTTTTTGTATTTCAAGTGTCTTGCGGGGGTATAGGCAAATGTTTATGCGCATGCAATGTGTTCTTACTTCTGTTATTTCTTTCTGACGTTGTTTTCATTGATTATGTTTTTCGTATTTCTTCAGTGTACATCTTACTTAGTCGTGACTTTCTCCTTTCATTTTTTTGTGATTGCTGTTCATGTATATATACATATACATATATATATATATTTATATTCATGTATTTGCCCTCCTGCTTGGACCCAAATAGGGTCTGCAGTATTGTATAAATAAATAAATAAATAAATAAATAAATAAATAAATAAATAAATGCGAATGCTTGACATTTCAGTGCAGCGTGTGCTAGACAGTGGTTACACGTTTAACGGGCATTTGCATGAAAATAGAAGAAGCAGTTTGTGTGGCGATATGTCGATGTCGTTTAAAAAAAAAAAAAAAAGACAGATTTTGCAAGAAACAAGAGGAATTTCTCATCCGAGCGAGGAACCCTTCTGTGTAATCATATCTTGTCAACATGATGCGTCTTGTTTATGTGTTTGTTTGCAATGCTGCCAACACAGCGCAATGGAAAGTTAGGCGACCGAGCTTTCACTCGGTAACACGAAGAGGCACGAGAAAGATGCCACTGTAGAAACTGCAGGATGACGCGTTTCCAGTGAATGGCAACTTGTGACATGAAAGGTGTGAAAAAGACGACGCGGAATGAAAATTACGGGCGGTGGTGCTTCTGGCAACTGCTCGGCTACTCGGAGTGTTCTTCGAATTTCCACTCTGTGTTGTACTGTTCAATGTGGCAGTGTTAAGAAACTGATTTTGCAGAAATGTCGCTGTCATTATTTTTTTAGCAAAAAATTATCTTGTCCATAACTGAGATATGGAGAAAGATGCAAATAAATTTTCAATAGAAAGTTGTGGTTCGAAATGATAATCATGAGCCTGTATGGTGTTTTTGTCATTGCTTGAAACTGCTTTAAACCTTGATATAAAGAACCCAGATATAACGAAGTATCAGTTATAACGAAGGAAACAAAAAACAGTCTTGCAGTAAATATATTGTTAGGTATATATCTTTATAATGAATTTTTGGATATACCAAACTTAATTTTCATGTAATATGCAACTTTGTTACAACGAGGTTAGAGTTATCAAAATCAAGGGGAAAGAAGCCTTCATAGCGCATGTAATATTGCATGGCAGAATCCTAGAATTGCACCAGGCGTCGAAACAAGTGAACTGTGCAAAGAGTAGGAGGCTTTAAGCTGCCCACCCCAGTAAAAAGCGTGCAGCTGCGCAAGTGCGCGGGGCTCCGTACGGATGAGTAGTAATTAGCAAAAAGAAGAACCGTAGCGTAGTGGGCGCTTTGCAACTGTACAATGAGTAGACGTGCAAGAATACTTTGAAACGGTCAATGTTACGCAACAAAAGCTCCTTTCTTTGCGGCAGGGTTGGCGAAAGTCAAGTGTTCTTTAAGTTTTTATGCCATTTTTTTGTTTATACTGCCGTCAATTCAAGACAATGGCAAGTAGTCATGTGACCACAGTATATAGTAATACTAATCGCATTAACCTACACTATGTGCCTAATGTGACCTTGTGGTTTGCTGTACTCTAAAAAAAATGCATATAACCGTTTACGCATTCAATCTAGTCCCCATCGGCAAAACACAATTCACTTGCAGTTTGATTTTGAAAGAAAGTCAAGTCTTCGAATTTGTAAAAGCATTCATTGCACAAGGCAGAGCGTGTCTCTAAAGTAACACACACAAGGTATGAGGAATTATGCTAATTTTCATCATTGTGCAAGCCATAAGGGCATTTTAATGTTGGCTGTTATAATACTTAATCATTCCTTTTGCATGGCTATATTTTGTTCTTATCATATATTGCTCACTCTGCTTAATATAGGTACTGCACCATATATATTAGCCATTAAGTGTGGAGAAATAAATGGCATTAGAGTGGAGCCCATAATTTTTATTCAACTTTCGAGTGCGGTACCTAATGGTTATTAGTATTTGTTGTCACCAACTGGTGCACAGGTAATGTAGCCAGAAACTGGATTGATACAGTGGTATCTTCAACTGCGTTGCAAAGTTAAAGATACCTTTAATTTTGTTTGCCCTATTTTTATTCGGAATAATTTTCTGCAAATGATCTGAATAACATCATTGTCAAATTGTCTCGTTAAAGCTTCAGCATAACCAATTAATTTTTTTAGTGGGAATATTCTGCAAACTTCTCAATAATTGGGATCTATATTTCAGGGGGAGAGAGTGAAAATTTATTGGAAAGCTGAGGAGTAGGCCTGAGCTAGTTCGCTCTAGTCTATAGCTGCTACTCACAGGGAAAATCTTTTTTTTTTTTTCATAATGAAATGTAATCTTCACTGGGTGGGAGCCGAGTGTGCATATATTGTGAGCCCCTCGGGAGAAAGTTCCGAGGAACGTTACGCTTGGTGTCCGCGGCTGACGAAACATTGCCAAGCGGTTGTTTTGCCTGATGACATCATCATCATCAGCCTGACTACGCCCACTGCAGGGCGAAGGCCTCCTTCTACGTGCCCGGCCCATGTCCATTTCTTCTTCTTGATTTCAACTATGATATCCTTAGCCCCGCTTTGTTTTCTGACCCACACTGCTCTCTTCTCGTCTCTTAAGGTTACGCCTATCATTTTCCTTTCCACCGCTCGCTGCGTCGTCAATTCAAGCTAAATCCTCTATGTAAGCCTCCAGGTTTCTCCTCCGTAGGTAAGTACCAGCAAGATGCAGCTGTTATATACTTTCCTCTTGAGGGTTAGTGGCTTGTTGAAACGAAAACAAACAAACTTGTTGGTGTTTACGTCGCAAAATTATGATTATATACTATAGAAGGGCTCCAATTTGATCATCCGGTGTTCGTTAACGTGCATTTCGTAATGGTTCAAGTAGCCCAACTTGCAGCTCTCTGTTAAGACGTAAATACACGGCATTCTGGCCTCGGGCCTTTACCGAAAAGCGGCCACCGCAGCCCGTATGCGATCCCGCGACCTCGGCATTAGAGTACCACAACTACACTACCATAACCGCTGGACCGCCCCTGAAAGTTCGGGATATACGCGCGCGTACAAGCCCATATGTTCAGGCCCACATGTTCGGCAAAGGCAAGGATACCATAGTAGTCAAACTTTCCCACAAAATCCTGCATCAAAACAAAAACAACGCGGTGGAAACCGGAACCGAAACTTCATTTCTCGGCAGCCAGTCGTCGTAAACATCATTTATGGCAGCGCCTTTGATTATTATGCTTTTATCGATGCTCATGGACGAAGCGGAACATGACAGAGGTAGCGAGAAAAGAAACGACGCTGACGGTAAGTTGTTCTCCGCCGTGTGATCGACTTCACATGTCTCACAGTAATAACTTGTCATGCGCCCTCGCCCGCTCTCGGTAATTTGTGTGGACGCGTGCTATGTGAAGCCGTGTGCCGCCGCCGTCGTAGCGTTCTTGTGGTCGCTGTTTAACTAGCTTTCTTTGCAGAGGATAATACGCTCGCCTAGGGGCGCATTCAGGCAGGTGATATGCAATAACGAAAGCTGGTGCTGTTTGAGCCTTTTGTTGGTGCTAACGAGGACTGGCTTTAGAGTCGCCTCCCCCAGTGCATGCACGCGGACCGTGATAGTAATCTTTGTGCTCGTGTTCGCCAAGTCCGTTGTGCTTGTAAGCACTGCAAGACTGATATTTCACCGAAGAAGTGTTAAAGTTGTGCTTTGTTTATTGACGTCGATGTTCTATCTGTCGGCTTCGCTCGAAAAATGCGAGGTGGCAAACGCGGTTCGTGCGAAGCCGAGTGATTAAACCAGTTCCACATGGTGGTGCTCGTGCGATGTTGCACGGGGTATGAGGCGAGTCTGGTTAATCAGCTGTCTTGGCTGGCAATGACGGGGTGCGAGACGCTCATGCTTTTACCGCTGTTCGCGTCGGTCTACGAAAGAAGTGAACAGGACAGTAGATCCTAAAACTAACCGGCAAACACCAAATTCAAGCCACAGAAGTGAATGCAGCCACACAAGATGAAAATAATCTACAACATTAAAAAGTTACAAGAAATACATAAAACATCGGATAACAAATTATAAAGAAAGGCATGCGCTGTAGGTAGCTTATTTGAGACAGCGAGGGAGGGCCAGCTTTTTAAATCATCTTTTTCCCTGTTTGTCACATGTATGTGGTACGTGACAAATAAGCTTG